CACTAAGCATTATATCCATTAATTGGGCATATATGATTCCTCTCAAATCCATGTTTTTGTTTCACTTGCGGAAGACAAAATACATAGCGTTGTATTCTACATTCAGTTTATTTTAAAGTGAGAATCTGTTAAGCGATTTCTTTCAATATGGCAAGTGAACCAATCGCACAAGTAGTAAGTAGAAGTAATTGTCGTTCTTCCCAAAGGACTTGAGTAATACAATGGCAATATGTAGAATTTAAGCTAATATAGACTAAAGAATGATTTCATATTTGATGGATTGTGATTTTTAAATTAAAAAGAGCAAAATGATTCAAAGAGAACTTTCATCAAACACTTGGAATGCGGATTTTTGGGACTTGACTTATATGATTGAAATGCTAGGGTTAGACTTCACCAACTTTAATCTCATGCATACAAAACATTCCTTCTCATTCAAACATTAATGCTAGCCCGCTAATTTTCTCAAATTCCAATCCCTTGGTTAAAAGAGCCTAAGTTTCATTATCAAATATCAATTCCTTGAATATTTCAACAAATCCACTTGCATTAAGTTAAAGGACTCCACACAACAAGTAACTCTTGTTCCATTCCTAGACACAAGGTTACAAGGTACCATATTCTCAAACAAGATTACCAATGATATTCCCACACCAAAAGCAATCAAAAATCATGTGATAGTTGATGGTTCCATACAAGCATTAAACACAAGAACATGATACTAACATTTGAATGAAGAAGATAGATATATATATATATTCAACAAGTTACATGAGAGTTAAGTTGGCTACATCTAACCCCAACAAAGAGGTTTTTAGCAATCCATGTCCATGAGAATAGCAAGATACATTAAAAGAGGAAGAATGCAAGAGAACCAATGAGAAACAAATGATCAATAGGTGAGCCCTAGCTTCCCCCTTTGGTCTGTACTTCGCTCCTCCTTTGGTCTCTTCGTTCCAGACTCCCTTTCTTTCTCGCTCAGCCAGAAATTATATACCAAGCCTCGCAACTCTGTAAGTGACGCGCCCAGCGCGAAATGGGACGCGCCCAGCGCATGACGGAGCGCGCTTGACGCGTGGTTGGGCACGCTCAGCGCGCTTTCAACCTTCCCGACACTCCTGGGTCCAACGCGCTGAGCGTGATAGAATATGGGCTCAGCGCGGGTCTTCTGAAATTGCTAGCTAGCTTCACTGAAATTCAATCGGGCTTCTTCTCTTTAACACGGTTTCTTCCCACATGATTACCTATCCAAAATGTCACAAAAAATGAGGATTAAATCTGTATAACCCTGTATGTGTAACCAAAGTGTCTTTACTTACAAAAGAGAAGTTAATTTGAGGATTACATAAGTCAAAAGTTAGAAAAGAGTTGAATGTGTTAACAAATTTGTTACTAGAATGTAAGTAAAAATTAACATTATGAGAATCTCACTATCTAATTTGAGTACTAGCTATAATATTTTCTTTGTATAAATTATTATACTTGTTTTAAAAGAAAAACATCGTTACCTGCTTTCCTTTAATGAGAGAATTTTTAAGATTCTTTCAATAAAGGAATTTTTTATTAACTTTAATCTCTTTTAATATATTTTTATTTTTATTTTTAAATTTAATTTTAATATTTTTAAAAAACATCGACAATTCAAAATAACATTACATCTTGATATAAATCATTTATCATAAATTTAAAATATAATTTATTTGTTAAAAATATTTATTTATTATAAAATTTAGTTATAATATAATGTATATATTCAAAATATTTATTTATTATAATTTTATATATGAAATAATTATCTAGCTTGTTGCATATATTAAAATATTAGTTTAACTATACTATATATAAAGGAATACCTCTCTTTGATTTTCACATTATTTTGGACATTTATGCTCGTTGTTATGTATTATTTTTTTCCTACTATCATATCTCTTAAGAGAAATAGAAGAAAAAAGTGTATAAATTTAATTATTTACTTTATCAATAATAACTACTCTATCACTTTATAACCACCTTTGATCTCTAATTTTGTTTTAAGATTATTTTAATTTTTTTATAATTATATATTATTTTACTTGATTTTCATTTCATAACCTCTACTATATTTATTTTTTGTTTTATATATATCATATGTAAAGGGAATACCTCCCTTTGATTTTCATATTTTTATAGACATTTATACCTTTTATTATATTTTTTTCACCTTCATATATCTTAAGGGTAAAATAGAAGAAAAAAATATAAAAATATAATTATCTACTCTATCAATAATAACTACTCTTATTTTATAACCACCATTGGTCTCTGAATTTTTTTAAGATTATTTTACTCTTTTAATTATGTATTATCTCACTTGATTTACATTTTGTAACATCTACTAAATGAAAATAAATATTGAACCTTAAATATGTTTTCACTCCTTTAAACGAGGTGAATTTAATTTTTTATCTTTTAAATTGAAAAAATCAAAATTTTTGGTCATATAATTTGAAGAAAGAAAAAAAAAACAATCTCTCTTCTCAAATTTTGTTAGTAAATTTATCAAACAGAATCCATATATATTATACCATCCCGACATTTTGTTAAGAGTGTCCCGACTAAGCCTTTGCACCTTTCGCGCTTGAGACCGGGAGACAAGTGTACTCTATCGGCATCTCACCAAGAGAGTACTTTGACTTAGTCTTACATTATTCATGCTCGAAACTAGTGCAAAAAAGTGTATCCTCCTAACAATTTGTGGAGAGAGTGCTCTGATTTGGCCTTTACACCTTTCATGCCAAAGGTTGTTTAACAAGTTTAGCTTCTCAACCTTTTGTTGAGAGGGCTTGGTTGAATGCCCTACCAATTATACCCCTACTTGTAAAATCTAACTTTTAATGATCATGATTGAATACTAAAATACAACATTCATTATTAGGTAATTTCTCACAAAATTCCAAACAAAAAAAATAGGACCCATGAAGGCTAAGCAACAAGTATAAAATCCTTGGTCTAAGACAAAGAAATACAATTTACAATTTTTGAATGTTTTGACTTTGGACAATTGCTAGCTAGGTTATCTCTAATATGTTTTTAAAATTGAAATAATTATTAAATCTATCACACAAAATTACCTATTAATATCCTCGCTAGTTAAAATATCATACTAAATTCAATAGATATTGTACAATTGATTTAATTTGTTCACATTCTAGTTAGTAGGATTGCAGTTAGTCTTGAGAGATTTTTTTGAAGTTACAATTGTTAAAGAGGTAAATTTTAAATTTGAGTGAAAAAATAAATTTATTCAAAATTTAATAAACTAAAGATATATTTGAGTCAATAAAATGTGTGATATGATGAAAAGAGATAAGAAAAAACGTAATAGTATAAAAAGTTTCAATAAGAAATTATTATATGAATCGTAGTGGTATAACTCAAAAAAGAAACAATAATGTAATTGATTTGGCACACAAAAGAAGTATGTCCACAGCCACATGAAGAAATTATTGGTATAGCATTATTATTTAGCCCTATACATTGGATGCATGTTCCATAACTTCATCTTTCAACACACTCGGGCTCTCCTTTCCCACGGTCGAGTAATATCTATCACACAAGTAAACTTGTTTTGTCAACCGGTGGGGATGGTGTATTAATGCTTCATATATTTACTTTACTTGCGCAGCCTTATCATACATGTAGACTAGTTTGTCAATGTAGGGGATGGTGCATTAATGCTTCGTGACTTTGTTATCGAGATTAAGCAGATGATTTCTTTGGACCATAACATGTCAGAGAATTAGAACAGATTAAACTAAGCATCTGAATTAGGACAAAGATTAAAGGCAGCTAGACACAGAATACAACAACCACATTGCAATATGAAAGAGCCAAAGCCAAGGAAGGAAATAAACAGTGAATTTTGCCCCGACCAGACCAAATCCCTTCCCTTGCTATGATGTCCACTTTTTGGTCTACAAAACTCTGTTTTTGCCGAGGAGACATGGGACTATAGGAAATTTTCAGAACGAACGCATATAAAAACTCGTGATTTTTGCTAGTAAACCTTATATAGACACAAAAATAGCATTCAATTAATTTATATAATCTATAAAGGTGAAAATTATGGATGTCCTTGTATTTACACATCAAAAAAGACAATTAGGTGTATAGCCCGTTTTTGGCCACGTGTCAGCTTTAGGTCTGAATGTGAACAGAAAGCGACGGAACAAATTGAGAGGCATTCGCGCGTCCGGTTTCCAACGTGTCGAATCAGGAGACTCAAGAAGGGACAACAGGAAGAGATATTTTTCTTTTCAAAGGTCCAGGTCAGTAATCTAACAAAGGAATTAATAATGAATTTTTCTATTAAAACCTATGGTGAGTGATTTACTAATAATAGATACAAGGGATATTATTTTCTAAGCTATTGTGTCCGCGATACTAATCCTAATACAGGCAGGTACGTCGTAAACGTAAAATGCAGGGGAGAATCAGAAAACAATAATTATAGGGCAAAGAACGTATGAAAGTCGCATGTTGGGTACGTAAAGTAGATGTTTAGAGAACAAGTGAATAGTGATTAAGAGTGGGGATTTAGCGGTTAGAATTAGATTAGATTAATTAACGGGGTGGGGTCCATGGCTCTAGCCTCTAGCCTCTAGCACTCTGGTTGGGTCAAACGCTCTTTGTTTATTTGTCAGAACTCCCAACACACCCAGCCTGTCTTCCACCCTTTTTACTCATAAACACACCACTCCCCGTGCCCATGTGACTTACTAACACGTCACCATACTCGCACCAAAAGCGCGTGCATGCGTGCATTTGAGGTCAATGCTCCATTGCTCATAGGCCATAGCACCTCACTCACCTGCGTCATCAAATAACAACTGATCTGCTCGGCTCAAAAAACATGCTGACGTAGTAACATACGACAGACAGAACACAGAAGAGATAAGCTTGATTAATTTTAAATTAAGAAATGGTTGAGTTCGTTGAACTCCATGGTCTAATTTTAAAAGTCACACCTGTAAAAATGATTGGAATTAATAAGAGAGAATAGTTTAAAAAAATGAAATGAAATGAAATACATGGAGCGGGGAAAAAATGGACAAGAAGGGCATGGCGTAATTCACATAATATTTGTTTATTGTTAAGGTGTTTGAGATCTAGGTGGAGTCCTTGACTCCGGGGGAGGCGTGTGACCCTCTGATCCTTTGGAAGGATCATCGGAGGACTGGCGCAAGCCGTCGTCGGTCTCTCCCCGGTTGATGTCCTCAATCATGCGGACCACGTCCGGCATGGTGGGCCTCTGATCGGGCACCACCGAAACACAAGCCATGGCGATCTGCAACAGCTGAACCATCTCCTCCTCTATGTTGTGGAACCTCATGAGCTCCGCATCGAACACCTCAGCAGTCCACTCTTCGCGCACCACAGACTGGACCCACCTGGGAAGGTCGATTCCTTCTTCCCCCAGAGAGGCTTGGTTCGGCGCTTTCCCCGTCAGAAGCTCCAACACCAACACGCCGAAGCTGTACACGTCAGACTTGAAGCTCACCTTTCGGGTTTCCACCACTTCGGGTGCCCGGTAACCCGCCACCCGGTTGGATGGGGCTCCGTTCCCGAACAAGGGGTTGAGGCCAAAGTCTGAAACGCCGGCCTCCTGCTCCGGCCCTCGGAGGAGGATGTTGGAAGATTTAATGTTCCCGTGGACCACCTTCCCTGACACGTGGAGGCATGCCAGCCCTCTTGCTGCTCCTACTGCTATTCTCATCCGGCTCTCCCAATCTAGTGGTGTTCTCCCAGACCCTCTGCTCCCTGTAACCACAATTACAAACAATCTCAATCTTCCACACTCGCCGCTGCTATCTCATGCACCCTACCCTCACTAATCATTACAGAATGTTTGCTCCACAACACAACCATTAATTAATTCACTAACACCACACACTAACACTACCCAGCCCACTGCCCACATAAACGCTAATCATCTCACAATACTATTAAAATATTCCTAGCCCTCCTATTAAAATAATCCAATTTCCACAACAAATTAAATACCCACACAAAAACGATGCCAATTCCATCAAACGAATTAATCAACATTCAATTACCCACAACCAAAATGCCGGAAACCCAACAACAATAACAATCAAATTGCTTGAATAATTAACTACGGGCAAAATCAAGCAGCAGGGAAAATGAATCATTAATCAACAGAAAACGAATTAAGGATTTGAATCACAACAACATCGTACCGTGTAGCAGCGCAGACAAGCTACCCGCAGACATGTAATCGTAAACGAGCAATTTCTCGTCCTTGGAGAAGTAAAACGCTCTGAGAGGAACCACATTCTCGTGCTTAATCTTCCCCAAAGCCTCCATTTGCATCTCGAACTCTTTCTTCGTCACCACAACATCCTTAAGCCTCTTCACCACCACCGTCGTCCCCTCCTCCAGCACCGCCTTGTACGAGGTCCCAACACTCCCTTTCCCCAACACCTCCGCCGAAGCCCTCAACAAATCCTCCAAATCGAAACTGTATATCCCCCCTTCGAAAAACACAAGCTTGTTCCTCTCCGCCTCCGCCGAGCCCCCCGTAATATCCTCCTTCGACGACGACGTCCCCGCCTCCGCTGGCACGGCACGCGCCGCCGCAGTAGCCTCCTTCGGCGGCTTCGCCGGCTGCCTCCGCCTCCGCCGGAGGCAGAGTAACAGCAGCAGCAGCAACAACGCCACCGCCAAAACAGACCCGACAACGATTGCGACAATGGCGCCGGTGGAGAGCTTCTTGGACTTCTTGTGGAGCGGCGGCGGGTTGGAATTGGCGGACGGAGACGGCGCCGGAGCAGGGAAGAAGGGGTTGCAGGGCTTCAACGGCGGCCCGCAGAGAGCTAGGTTTCCGGCGAATGAGGATTGGGGGAAATTGGAGAGCGTCTGGGGAATGGAGCCGTTGAGGCGGTTATATGAAACGTCGAAGTCAACGAGCTTGGCCGTGATGCTTGGGATTATGCCGGAGAAGGTGTTGTTTTCGAGAAAAAGACCGGTGAGGTGGGTTAAGTTGTTGACGGAGAAAGGGATGGGGCCGGAGAAGTTGTTGGAGGAGAGATCCAAGCGAGCCAAGCGAGTTAAGCGAGTGAGACTCGGTGGGAACTCGCCGGAGAGGTCGTTGTTTTGTAGGTAGAGACTGCGGAGGAACGTTAGGTTTGAGAAATCGGCGGGGATCTCGCCGGTGAGGCCGTTGGAGCGGAGACTAAGGATCCGAAGCTGGCTTAAGCGGCCGATCGTGTCGGGTGGGACCCGACCCACGAGGCCGACGGCGGGTAAACGGAGCGAGTAGACGAAGGCGCGTGAGGCGTCGCATTTGACGCCGACCCAGTCGCAGGCGGAGGCTGAGGCGTTCCATTGAAGGCGGTTGGAGTGTGGGGTTTTGGAGAGGAAAGCAAGGAGGGCTTGCTTGTCCTGAGTGGGCTCCGAGTTAACTCGGAGATGGGAACTCAGCTGCAGGAGGAACACCAGAAGGAGCAGCGCCATTGGGTAGGGGATTGCGGAATCGGAATTAGCGAAGAAGATCGGAGGGTAATCATGTTACCCGGCGAAATGCCATAGGAAAAAAAGGAGTGGTGGGAATTGTGTGAGTGGGTGGAGTTTGCGAAAGAAAGAGGTTTTTGTTCTGTAAGAGACAAGCTATGTACTACTACTATATCACACTATCACCAGCTTCAAAGCTACCCCCAAAAAGAATTTTAAAAAAAAAAACTGAAATGAGAGTATGATTGTATTTGTATGAAACAGAAACCACTGTCTCTGCCAGCCACTGCTCCTAAAACTCCTCACGTTTTTAACTTGTTTTTTATTTTTTACCGCTTCCACGCGCATTTGTGTCGCGTGCATGCACGTCTTATTATTATTGTGGATGAAGGGAAGGAAAATTCCTAATATTGGCATGGCAAAGAGGCAAAACAAAAGGACAAAATAAAACAAAGCGGGTGTTTTGTTGCTGATTTGTTATAGGTTAGAGGCACATGTGAGATAAGATTATGGAAGGGATAAAACTTTAACCGAGGGCCACGGTGCAGGTAAAGATTGTTGGAATACCAGGTGCGGAATGGCTTTTCTTTTCTTTTCTTTTCTCTTTGTTTCTTTTTGGCTGCGTGGGCCTGGTATGGTTTCATGAGGCTGTTGAGGTCCTCGAAAAGAGGTATGTATTTTGCTTGCCTTGTGAATATATGTGGGATACTATTACTTAGCTCTTGATGCTACATAGTAAATAGTAATTTTCTAGTTTTGAATGAACGTTGAGTTTTGACTTGCTGAAATGGACGGTGATCAACCATTTGATTATAATTGATTGGAATTAGGAAATCGACAGTCGCGCTTTAGCTTTGATTTGACCATAACAATGTCACTGCAATGCGGTCGTATTAAGTACCTCGAATACCATTAATTTCGCTATTAATAACTTCAAATACGCGTTTCATTTTACATTCACAAAGTCTTCGATTATAATCAATGTTTTATAGTATAACGTAAAGCTTTTGTTAACTATTTTCATATCGCTTATTATTCTTTATTTTTTTTAAAAAAATAAATTACTACATAATTCTCTCTGTTTTTATAATATACATATAAATAAATGAAAAATCAAGTCAGTCTATCGTTGAAAAATAGATGACGGAAGTTGATGGCTCTATTACGGTTTTGGATGCAAAACCATCCTACTAAAACACTAAGAAAGCCAAGTTTTATGAAGATCAGAGTCATGGAAGATAAGTGGTTGAGTTTATCTTACAAAATTTTGAAGCAATCAATAATGGAGTGTTTCATGGATAGATATTGGATTCTCATTTCTGAAACTTATCAATTCTTGACTTTACATCAAATTTTATAACACTTATGTAGATTGAATATAATATTCGATATGTTGAGGAATTCTCAATCTTATTGGATATTATATCATCTATATCGGTACCGAGATCCACCTTGGTCCCAGATCATCGGACCACGTCGGCAAGAAAAATATAACCCTTCTCCAACTAATGAGATAAACAGATAAGCACATAATCTTATCATATCACAACCAACCCTATATTTGCATAAGGGAAAAACCCTAATCGATACCAAGGTAAGTACATTATATATATGAGACACTCACATCAGCAAAGATTAACTTAAGCATCAGAGTCCCTTTTGTAGGTATCACTCCCATCTTGGAGTGACCAACTTGCGAAATAAAGGAGACTCACCAATCTCATCAAAGAGGTCGTTCCTAGACCAATCTCATATGAGAACAAATATTTTTCTCTATGATTAAACTTTGAAGAAAGTAACGTTCAATTTCATGCTATAACCTTGATCACTCTTATTAGCATCAAACAAGATAAGGATAAGTGTCTCAGGATCTTCATGGACAACTATGGGAAAGTTGCTTTTGAAATTTCTAATTTGACTAAGGAGGTTTCCCTAC